GAATGCACGTCCATTCGTCCGTCCTTCCGTACAAGCGACAATTTTAATAAAACTTGAGATATATTAATGCAACCAACCATATTTTTATAGGCACTCGGGGCGGGTATACTATTGGGCGATAACGGACTACTACCACGCCCGTAAAATATATTATCAAATTCTCTCAGTTTCTATCACGTTACAATATATAAATTAAGCAACAATTAAGACATAAAAGTAATACTTTGAAGAAATACTATAATCTCACTATCCATCTGCACTATCCATTCACTTCCAAAAATAGTCGAACCGGGATCATAACTATTCAAGACCCCAGATACCGTTTATGTACAGCTCAATGCCTATGACAGACTTTTTACCGTCAATGTTGGTTAATATCACGGACTTAGTAATACAATTTGGAAAGCATCTATTTCTGATAATAATTGAGTCCTGGTGTAAAGAAGGATAACATCGATTCAATATTTTCACTAGTCTTCATATACCTAATATAAGGATTTTCATACTCCCGGTTGACTTTATACCGTATATATCGATGAATAAGTAAGATATCTTACCAACTTTGTAATCCTGAACGTACAATAGTTTAGTACCGTAAATTGGGCAAGTTCGTCATATTTATATTACACAAATATAATTATATTAATACCATATATATGTGAGTTGGGGTAAATTAAGGATTTTCGTTATTCTAGCGGACTTTGTGTAGAATACAACGGTCAAATTATGAGTTATCTTAATAAAATTGAGTAGAGATATTTTGCTAATCATACCTTTTCTTTATATAGCCAATTTATTAAGATTCGACTCTCTTAGTTGGCAACTGAAAATTATAAATATATATTTCTGCAAATTTGACCCTTACAAATTGCGAGTTAGACTTCTTTACTTGTTATTTTTAAAATTGTTAAACAAAATTGCTACATATGTGAGTCGTTACTGCGAAAAACTATTACATGAATATCATAGATTTTGAAGAGTAAACTACATAAATACTAAAATCTTACCCAAAATTATTCAACTGACTATTGTAAAATATAGAAGGTTTTCAAATTTTTAAAAAGACAAAAATTACTTGACTTATGAGGGAAAAATTTAGTACTCCAATAAAAAAGTATTCACAACAAACATGTCTATTAATAAAGCCAACCGGAAGCTTGAAATCCTTATGTTAGATATGTATTGATATGAAAGCTATGGCTTTATGTGTAGTATTGATTCGATTAAATCAATTTTTGATAAAAGATGCCCTTTTTTTTCTTTATATTCGGTATATGGGAAATACTCCCGTATTGACACAAGTTTGCCCATTTTTGACACAAGGGCATGCTGCTTTCATAAAAGTATTCTCTCAGAAGTTGAATACAGGACCTCACAGATTGACGGTAAATAGTTGGTCAAAAGCACACAAGATCACATATTCGATATATGGGGTCTTCAAAAATTATAGTCCGATTCGACAATTTTTAGACGTCAGATCACATACATTAAAGACACTATTTCTGCAAAGTTTTATTCTGATATATTCATTGGTGCTTCATTTGCAAACTATTATAAAAAGAAAGAATCAGAAAGAACTAAAAATTTGTGTCGTATGAGAAGTAGGCGTTGTTGTCATCCGATTTCGCTCATTTTCATACACTTTTACAAAGAAATGCCAGAATAATGTTATGATTAGAATTTGCTTGAAGTAGATGGAGCAGTTCTTAAGATGTGGGACTTATCCAAAAAGCGGGCGGTGTCACGCCCATTGGACATTTTTGACAGGGGCATCTATAAAACGCTTTCGTATCATCTTGGCTGTGAAATTTAATGCCAATATAACCGTTATATGGGAAATGGGCGAGGTTATCACCCTCTGTAGTAACATGTTCCGAGTGTTTCAAAATTACAATAAGAAAGAAATGACTCGTATTTATAACAACGCTATAAACATACTTATATACATATGTATTTACATATCGTATATATGTATGTGTATTTATTACATATGCGAACATGTAAATATAGAAATGTACGGCCACTAGATGACACTTACATCTTGACATTGAACTGGCTGCAATATCCAATGGCTCGGACAGTTTATATTCATTATAACCCAAAAGGCACGCGCCGACTAGATTGGCAGGCAGAAGGTATGTATGTACTTCTATGTACTCTGTTTGGCTGAAGCACTTAATTTAACAGCTGCACAGTTAGATTTTGCACTCTTCACCACCACCACCTGGGTCACTGGTAGCCCGCCACTTCACCACCAATAACACTTCCCCACGAGTCACGAATGCTGCTTTCGCCCTCCTTCGCTGCTCACTCTCTCAGAAATTCTCGATTTGCGCTCGTCACTCACGCACACCACTCTGTATGTTATTTAAATGTCACACTTGTAACTGTTTTGGTTTAGCAGCAACAGCAACAGCAACAGCAAATCTATTAACTCTCTCTTAACTTTGACACGTAGGATAATTCACGATATTGGCAAACACTTTAATTAGTAGCACTTCTATCCAGAAACTTTCGCACAAGCTTTCCACCAACAACAACAAATGCAAAGATTGGAAATTATTGCCCACTTAGCAACACTATCCGGATGATTATCACTAGCATTAAGTGAAAATAATAATAGCAACAACAAAAGAGAGATCAGGAAGATATTTTAAATGGGTGCTGGGTGTAAACGGTCGCGTAAACGAAAGGAACAAATCAATTTCCAAGTATGCGCGGCAGAATGTGAGGACAGCAGCACAGCACCTCTCGCCTCCGCACCTCACCGTAGCGCTCGACGACGTCAAAGCACACCGAACTGAACTTAACCGTTTCGCTTAGCTGCACCAGTCTTCAGCACCTCCTGCTTCTACGTTCTGCTCGCTATTTCACGTGTTTGACCTTTGCAATTTGTATACGAAAATTCTTAATAGTATGTACGAATGTGTGCGGTCAAGTCGATGTAAAAGCCAGTAGGCGCTGTGTAGGAAATCGATTTTTCATGAAATTCTAATTAACAGCCACTTTTCACTGTTTTATTGTATTTTAATATAAATATAAATTTTTTCTTTTAAATGATTTTATTTTTATTTTTTTATATTTTTTTTTATTGACTACGCTTTGCTATTTTTATCTAACTCCAGTTGCGCTCTTTCACATTTGACCAACTACGAAGAACTGAACTCGGCGTAACCATGGGGAAGCACACCGAGCAGTTGGAGAATTTTTGCAGCAAATGGAAGCTCATGGAAATATAAATGCAGAGAGCAATGTAAGGTATACTTAGTTGCAGGCGCACAAATATACATTTTTACGTACTTACATATATCACCATATGTTTTGTGGTGAAGTGTAATTGTGATTGTCATTTTAGTCATATTCGTGCTTTTTGAAAAATTTCTTCGGAGACTGCACCAAATGAAAATGTTTTTCATGCAAGTACTTCATTCCGATCGTTCAGTTTGTATGACAGCTATATGCGATAGTGGTACGAACTCGGCCATTCAGACAAATGTGAAGCTGCTTAGTGAGTAAAGTACGGGTGCAAACTTACAGATCGTTATCTCAAAAACTGAAGGACTAGTTCGCATATATAAAAATAGATGGACAAATGGACAGACAGATGGACATGGCTAAATCGACTCAGCTCGCCACGCTGACCATTGGTATATATGCTTTATAGGGCCTCTGTTCTGTCAGTCACAAAAGGGTAGAACAAAACCTTTACTCAAAGAAAACTAATATTTAATGTTTGTATCCCTCAAAAGGTCTAACTTTGACAATCTTTTCTGGGAGTGAGGAAAATGAAACCAAATTTTTCTCTCTCAGGCTCAGGCAAGAAAACACGTTAACTTCGGTTGCACCAAAGTTATAACACCCTTCGCAAAAACAAAAGCTTTCCATATAAGGACTATATTTTGTTCGATTAGTTTGTATAGCAGCTACAGTGGTCCGATCTGAAATATTTCTTTGAAAATTGTACCATTGCTTTTAAATAATCCGTGCCAAATTTCGTGACGATATCTTGCCAAATACAAAAGTTTTCCACACAAGGAATGGAATTTGATAGATTAGTTTGTATGACAGCTATATGCTAAAGTGATTCGATCTGAACAATTTCTTCGGAGATTGTACCGTTGACTTAGGTAATAATTCATGACAAATTTCATGAAGATATTTTGTCAAATAGAAAAAATGTTTGTACAAGGACATGATTTCTATCGCTCAATATCGGCTGATCCGAAAACTGAGCAGACGGACATGACTAAATCGACTTGGTTCGTCATGCTGATTCTTTATATATACGAGTATATTTTATAGGGACGTTTCCTTCTTAATATACTCTGTTCTGGTTAAAAAAGGTATATTGATATTTTTTTACAAAATAGCGGATACTAAGTCAACCTTCAGAATCCCTTTTTTCTGACGGACCTCTACGAAAAATTAGTAGATAATGTTACTGTGAAGCTACAGTTAAAATTTCGTTAAATTTTTATAAATGTGGTAATGTGGACGACATGCACGTGGCCTTTTTGTAGAAAGCTCGTTTAAAGTTTTATGTGCTGAAGCCGACAGTTTCGATCGTTTGAATACTACAGCTGATTGAACAGAGAATTTTTTTTACTTTTTTCTACTGTCAAATGAATAATGTTTTACAACCTAAAAATGATAATCATCGATGGCTACAAAATTAATAACCATTATTAGACGTTGACTTAGAAACGTTGACAATTTTACTAATGAATTGCATGATCAAACATTTTTTATTCTGTACACTAATGTAATTTTCAAATGCTGTTAAATCTCTATAAGAAACTCACCACTGTTATAGTGTCCTTGCGGAAGCGCAATGACAAATGGGAGGCTTTTCAGCAAAGAGAAAAACTTTGCCAACTACGCTCTTGACTAGAAAAGAGAACCTGACATTATAATTGACAGACGGCTTATAGATGTCAGTAAGCGGCGTAAGGTTTGAACTGTCCGTTTATTTTCATTTCATTAGAATGCGAAGTCAATAATGCCATTTTCTTCATTTATTTTGATTTAGCGCTTTGTCATACATTAAGTTATTGTAACCATTAGTCGTTAGATTATTAAAGTCATTGTTGCTCAATTTTTGATAAATATTTTGTATACATATTTACTTGAATTATGTGTTCTTTGTTTTTTTGCTTTTATGTAATACAATAAATATATTCTTATTTTGCATAACTTTTCTTAATATATCAATTTTTTAATATATTATAACTATGTTGTATTACTTTTAATTAATTAATTTATTATTTAACTTAAATTCAAGTTGATAAATAAGCCAACAATAGAATCACATTTATGTGTGCAAAATGCATTGCTAACTAAACCGTCTAGCATAATACCAAAAAATATTAATAAATAAGTAAATAAAGCATGTTACAATTATTTAAAATTAATTTTTCTACATCTATGTAGCTTTTTGTTTAAATATTTGCCATTGGAAACAAGCATATATTATATATATATTAAAGGTCTTTCGCTTTACTTCCTCAACCGCCTAATTTTATGTTGCAAATACCAAACTGGTTTCATATAAATATACGGCTTCAGCGCAAAAATGTCTAAAAATATGTATGTATTTTTTTATGTCTGCATTATGCGCATATATGTATGCGGGCGGTTGTTAATACTACAACTTTATTTAATCAATTTTGGTGCCAATCTTGCGTGCTCGAATATTTATTCAAATCGTTTTTGCTTACAGCATAATAAAGTAATTCTTTGCTTACACTTGCAATTGAACACGCACTCACATAAAGCAGAAAATATATGTATATGTGTATGTATGTATTGTTGATAAATTTATTACAAAAGGAACTATTTCAGTTTTAAAATATATATTTTGCCTACAAATAATGTGCTTTTATCTAATGCTGTCTTCTTTTCTCGTACAAATGTTGCATGTGATTTTTTTCTTAGCAACTGCTTTTAATATTTTTCCCCCTTGTAAATCTGTTTCTGTCATTGTTTACCCCTAAAAATTCAGAGAGCTGGAAATTGCTTCGGTAATTTTACGATTGAGCTATCTACTGAGTTTGCCTAGTGAAAAAGTAAACTTTTCTACAATATAATATTTTTCTTGCATGCAACATTTTTAACTAGAAAAGCAAACGCCATTATTTACACTTTTTAATTTAATGCTATTTAAATTCGCTTGGCGACCCTTTTCCTCTTTCTGCTTTCAATTATATAATAAGGCCTCTTCAAACATAAAACTCTACATACTATCTTCGCAGATCGACCACCTGTATCTTCCTTTGAGCATCGAGCTGAATGTGCTGTGATTCCTGAAAATATTATAATATATTTTAATTTAATAATCAAACACATATGAATTTATATATGTATACACACCATATACAGTCGTGGCTCATTAGGATGTGGATGAAAACCTGTTTGCCGGCATTGTGCAATATAATCCAGACCATAGTCAGGTGTTAATATGAAGAAACCAGTGCTGATAATGAAAAATTTGGTTTCTCAAAATGTATATAGTTCTAAATGTATAAACATTTGACTTACGTCTGATATTTTGGCGCACAAACAATGGCAATTGCCTCAGGCATCATCATCTGATATGAACAGTGTGTATGCAAATCCACCGATGAGAGGAAAGCTGTCTGGCTTGGATGGGTCTGCAAGCACATAAAATAATATGTATAAAAATTTACGAAATACAACACAAAATCGACATTAAACGAATTCCAAGTCACAGGGATCACACAACTATCGTATACTACAACTTACATGAATCCAACCGAGTGTTATAAGATTCTGTTGATCTTGCACATCGAATATCTCTTCCTCATTCATTGTATTACAGCTATCAGGTGTACCTTGTTGCTTTGGTATTATAATATGTGTGATAAATAAACGGTTCTGCGCCAAATGACCAGCTAGAATGCCACAAGTTTCGATGTTTTTCAAAGTATTGCTTTGCGCCAATTGCAAGAACACTTCCATTGTATTCTCGGGTATGATCACAGTCCTCAGTGAGCCCGCCAGTAGGGAATCGGACCGTTCGTAATGTGGCTTTTGGTTACGATCGAAACTGGGTGGCTTGCTGTGAACAATGAAAATATTTGAGAAATTGTAATTTGTTTCTGATAAAAAAAATATTAACTTAAATAAAGAAATTTATTTAAAATTAAAATGTCATTTTGCTTTAAAAGAAAAGTGTAAACAAACCTTATTGATTTTGCGCCTTCTTTGTCCGCATCACCGGGCAAAAGCAGCCCCGAACCGACACGATTTGTACCAGTTGGAAAATCACTTGGATAAACTACCTTATCTAACAGTCCCAAATCAGCCGCACTTGGTTGCATGCTTGGATCGATTTGAACATGCAGATTAGTTGGTATATGAGCTCCTGCACCACCACTAGAACTTCCGCCAGCTGTCGCACGTCTTTGACGCTCACGCTCCAATTCACGCGCTTTTTCCGCCTCTTTGTTGGCTAAAAATTGTTCATACTCTTTTTGGTAGCGTTCTAGTAGTTTGGTACGCAATTTCTCAGTGGTCGGCATTATTTCTTCCTTAATACGTTTATTGATTACTTTTACTTCCGACTTGATTTTCGGATATTCAGGATGTGCACGTATTTTCTCAATGAATAATGTCATATACTTCATGTAAAGGATAAATGCGTTTTCATGATTTCCTTCCGTGAGGTAAACATTTGCCATGCGTAGCATTTCTGTGCCAGAGCGATAGTATCTGAAATTTGTAATATGCAATCAACCAAGAACATAAAAAATTTAATTCAAAGTTTATTCTATTATTTTTAAATTTGAAGCCATTTTCCTCTTAGTATTTTTGTTTTTGTCAATTTAAAAATATGATTTCCACTTCTGAAGGATAAATAGTAACAAAACATAAATAACACAGGTACAAGGACTTTTAAGAACTTTTACATACGTACTCAAGGGCATTTTGCATAAGCTGAAGTGAAGGTGATTAATAGAGATTATGTTTTGTCATTAATTAAGCTTATTGTTGCTTTGTCTTTTTTATAACTATTTTATTTTTTCAACCCTTGAACTGACTCACCGTGTAACTGGAACGTTTGTGTCCACTTCTATAATATTGCCGTGATTAGATAGGAAGCGCATCCGTTCCTGCGGCTCCACTATTGACATTCCCATATTGTTCACCGCCTTTGCCATTGTCGTTGGTTTGTAGACACTACCGCTGTTGAAACCCTTTCTAGTTCATTCAGTTATATTGTTTTTCACTTTTTTTGAATTCCTACTCACTTTCGCTAATAAAAACTTAGGGAATTTGCAATATTGTCAAAAGCAATGTACAGCTGATCGGCCAATGTTGCCATAAAATATTTAGTAGTTACACTCTTAAAGTGGGACGTTTTCTCCCCCACAGGAACAATGAGGAATTGGAATATTTATAAAACAATAACAATAGAACAACGCAGCATTTAAATTTTGTTTTATAAAATCTAACTAGACTAAACTAGTAAAATCAGGTTTAAATCTTTTAAATAAATATTTCATGTATCAAAATATCCAAAAATCTCGCCTTATTCTTAACATATTTTTAACGAATACTGCGACGTCTAAGATAGTATTTCTGAATTAAATTTTGGTGGGAAATAGTGTGTTAGTTATTTCACTGCTAAAAATTAATAAAGTCGGTTCACATCGGTTCTATTAGCTCCCATTTAATAACTATATTGATTATTGCCCGTCTGGTGACTTTAAGGGGATAGCTCAGACAATAAGTAAAAGAACTCAATAAAATAAAGTAATATACATATGTACTAAATGTAAACAAGTGATTACCTTATTGCTACCAAACAAGAATAAATCTTAATTCGGTTGCACTGAAGCTAGCCCTTAAAAGAAGCACTTCTTATAGTATAAATTGGTATAAAAATCTTTATTTTGATTCAGGTCAGTTTAAGTAACAGCTACATACTATAGTGGTCCGATCTGAACAATATGTTCGGAAATTTGTGGCGTTGTCTTGGATAATAATTTACGCCGAATTTCGTAATATAATTTGTCAAATAATAAAGTATATATACATACAAGTATAGTTTGTATGGCAGCTATATCCTGCAGTGATCCGATATCGGCGGTTAGGACAAATGAGCAGCTTCGTAAAGAGAAAAGAACGTGCGCAAAATTTCAAAACCCAATCTTAAACACTGAGGATCTAGTTCGGGAATAAAAAAGCACAGACAGACAAACGAACATGGCTAAACCGACTCAGCTCATCAAGCTGATCATTTATACATATGTTTATGTACTTAAAACAGTCTCCGATTCTTCCTGGGTATTACAAACTATGTTGCAAAATTAATATTCTTTGTTCAGGGTATAAAATTGGGCTAAATCGGGTTACACCCTTTCCTATTAATAATGACAATCAGAGTATTTCACACTCCTTAAAGGTTCATAATTTACGAGATTTTATAAAGTTCTCTTTCGTCCAAATTCGTTCTTACTTGCTTACCTAAAATAGTGTTATTGTGAATTTTTTGTTACAGGGCCATCCACTCCATTCCCACGAAAGTTAATATATTATTTTTTTTGGATTTATAGCCTAAATTATTCAGTAAATAAAACTTCTTCACTATGTTTATATACAATACATATCCATACATATGTATGTATGTATGTAGATAAATTGTTTATATAAGTATATATGGTATATAACAGTTTAATCGCGGAGATAAGTTCAAGTGCTCTATTGCCCAAGAATAATTCCAAAATAATCGAGATAGGAATTGGCTTATGCAAACCATTTAGTAAACCATTTAAATAAATAGTTGCTGTAACAGTGATTAGTAGAATTCGATACGGTACTGTCGAAGTTATACTGAAATTAATTGAAATTAATTATATCGTTGAAACAAGTACAAATACAACGTTATTTCTGAAAACAATTTTGAAAAATATTTTGAAGTATAAATAATTAATTTCGATTTAATACTGCGGAAATTTGAAATATCTATACGAGCTAAAATATATGGTATGTATGTTAATTATAACCTTATTTACATGGTATAATTTCAATAATTAAATAACAGAGTAAAGGAAATTGTTTTGGAAAAGAGTTTATTGTATTAAAAAACTTTAATATTGACGATATTATAAAGTTCATTTCGAATAATAACTATACGAAATGAAATCGTGAACGCGTTCATTTAATCGCAAATTATGGCATTCTAAATTAATCAATCGGATCATAAAAAGATTTCATGTGAGAAACTAAGCGTGTTTGCTTTAGATAAGATATTTATGTCTTGTGCTTTTTACTCACATATGGTATATGGACTATACAAATTTTTATGTAGGTTTAGCAAACAATTTCGAAGAAAAATTTGAGTATAACTTCAAGAAAGCTAGAAACCTCGTTAGTCCATCATCGACCGAAAACTCAAAATGTAGCAGAACCTTGGAAAAAGTCATGATATTTGTGGTGGTGGGATTGCAAATTCATCTACTTTTCATACGTAAGAAACTCTTTCCATATTTTGTTAGTAAAAAGACTTCGAATGAGGCGACTCTCCCTTACTTTTTGTTGTAATATTTCAATATAAGTTTGATTTGACATTTAAACTTCTAGCAGAGTTGAAGTCTCTAATTTTTGTGCTTCAGGTATATTGGCAGTTAAAACTTGAGTACCACCATTCAGTTAACTGAAAATGCTTATTTTTAAACACAGATTTGCAATTGAATGGCCATGGTGCCGGTTCTAATACTACTATATCGGAATGTAAACCCATTTTCTTTACTCCTTATAATCCCTCATAATTTTAAAATTTTATTAGCATTACCTATATACGGTGAAAGATTAAACGAAATTTAGGTGAAACAATATTTTACAATGAACTTTCAATTTGAATCTCTTTTGTAATTAGACCTAACAATCAATGATAAACAGGTGTATATGGTAAATTAAAATTTGATTTGAGATACAGCAATTTGAGTTGCGTGTAAAAGAGATAGTTGCTGACGATAAAAAAACATTACTCTTTGATACTCAATGATGATGATAATGATAAAATGTAATCGAGAAAGCTGACACTCTACAGATAATGAATCCAACAACCTCAAGAAGGCTAAATGTACAAGTAAAGAATCGATACTGAGACCATTTGGATGCAAAAGACAAATCGTATCACAAAATGGTATCGGAAAATTAGAAGATTGCTTATTCGGTGGATCGCCTCCTATGGTTTAGGGACACCTAGTGTGAAAATCAAAAAAATTATTTTAAATTTTACTACATTTTTCGAATTGACTGCAGTTGTAACTCAAAAACAAGAAAAAAGTTAACTAGTATTATATAAGTTAAGCAATTATAATATAATGACCTTTACAAATACAAAAGATTATTTACAAGAATTTAATTTTGGTCGGCCAGCTTGCAGCTTGTATGACTGCTATATGCTATAGTGATACGACCTGAAAAATTTCTTCCAAGATTGCATCATTGCCTTAGGCACTAACCCATGACACATTTCTTAAAGATATCTCATCAAGTTTACTCACTAGAGAAAGTTTTTTGAGGGAATTCGGAAGAATCACATTAAATTTTTATTAACAATCGTAGGTCACAGATTAGGAGCTTTAATTAAATATTATTTTTTTGAAGTTCTTTCTGTATATTCACTTATTGTAAATAAGTATGCACCAAAAATTTTAAAACAATACATATAGTAGTTTTCTTTGAAAAAAATCACAAAATTGAATTAAATTTTGTCGGACAATGTGTTTTTATTTCAAACACGATTAAATCGTCATCACAACTAACAATTACACAACACAAACATAACTTAAACCCCAACAAAATAAGAATACATACGAATATAAGTGACAAGAGAAACAATCATATACCCAATATGCGCACAAAACAAAAAAGCCCAGTGAACAGCTGTTCAGTTAGCAAAACGATATGAAGCATGACCACGGAATTAAACAAAGAGTTTTCGTCATCAACAATGACCGTTCTCGCTAACGCTCCCGCTTGCATTTACCCACACACACACACATACAAACACCTAAAAGCACAATCAGCAATATCCGAGCTCAGCTCACCCAGAGAACTTCTTGTATGTTCCCTGGCTCAACTATGCTAAGCCGAGCTGAGCAGGGCAGCTAGCAGACAACGCTTTACGATTTCGCCGCTAAGTAGAACCGTTAATGATCGTTAAGCACCGTCGACGATGGACGCAAACTGCGTTGCTGCGTTGCAACAGACCACAATTTCATAAAACGTCGACGCGCCGCCGTCAGAGTGGGCGACTGCGGTTGAACGGCGGCTTGCTCCGCTATGGCGCTCAGCTAGGCCGCGCAAACGGTCGCCAACTTGGACACAAAGCGGTCGCTTTGAAACGCGCTCGCTGTGAAATATTAAACAAGCAACGCACTAGCAGTTAACTGCTATGCAAATGCAATCGAGGGTGCTGCAATTGGACTAGTGAATTAATAAAAACGATTAGCAGACATAAAATGTCACAAAAATATAAGTTATAATTCGTTGTAGCGCGAAGAGTGCAATGTGCAATACAAATATTTAAAATCAACATAGAAATAAATTCAGATAAAGTATAAATTAAAACAAATACATAACAAGAAATCGGTAATCGGTGAATGATTTTATGTCATACTTTCAATGTCAGATCATTAGAAGAGACCACAGCAAAGTTGCGCGCGTGTTTGAATAGCATTCGGCCCTTGCGGGCGGATATCACATACTAAAAAATATTTGTATTCATATGTAACCGATTATCTTTTGTATTGGCTTTGTAAGCGCTTATATACATGCATAAATAAATAATTAATTTATCAGCGTTGATGCAGTTCAGTTGTAATGGTGATAACACAAACGAAATTTACAGTGAAAAATTTGTAAGCGCATTTGTACTAGTAGTAGTTTGTTGGTACTGAAAATATACATATGTATATGGGAGCTCCATATGCTTGTTTCTACGCATTGCAGGCATATTTCTATCCAAGTGTGGTTACTTACACTGATTATACACGTATGTGCATTGTGGTTAATTGATTATTGCGAAATGCGGGTTAAATAAAAATTCTTTTATATAAAAGAAACTATATGTAAAGATAAATCTGGCCGCCAATTTTTAAAAAGTACATAACTATTAAACATATAACATAAGAGTACTATATTAAAAAAAAAGTTTAGTGACAAGACTATATATTAAGGCTTGTAGAGCCTTCCAAAAAGGTCTTACTTTGAAGAATTTTTGAGAAGTAAAGGAAAGTTATTCGAATTTCTGTCGTTTTAACTTTATTTTGCATATATTTGAGAGTATAAAAAATTATAATGACTTTTAAAAAGGTTTTTACGGACGATGGTGATTCTACAACCACTTGCTATCTGAAACTTAACAAAAAACGGGCGTAAGCCAGTTTAATTGTGGACTTGTAAAAAATAAGCCAAATTTTGATCGAAAAACTTATGTAAATTGTTTACAAAATTGTAATAATAATAAAAAACAGTACCCTGGATAGTAGATTATATTCCTCAGGTAAAATTTTTTTAAGTAGATACGTGCTAGATTACCGCCCGATTTAAGAAATGTCGCTTCGAGTAAATCGCATTAAAACTTTTATGTGCTGAAGCTCTCTGACCCGAACGCTTCGATAATAAAGCTAATTGGAGAGGGAAATGATGTTTTTCACTGTTATATCAATTGAATGACGTTTTTAGGACCGACCCTAAAGTGTACTACACGCATAAGCCGTGTTCGTCTGACTAATCTAATCTTTTAAGTGTTTATAGCCTCTTGTGAATTTTAAAAAAATCGATTCCATATATGTATATCGAATGTACCTATATTTGAGAATATTCCCGAAATATTTGAAGTTAATGCGGAAAATAGTATCGGAGATAAGTGAGAATTTGTAAAAAAAAAACTTAACTTAGTGTAAACGGCTCCCAAAACTTCAAACGCATTTATCCCGGAACGCTGTTTTCAGAGTCGTTGAGGAAAATTTAAATTGAAATTTTCACACGACCTTCTTAGATAAATTCTTCAGTATTAATCGAATAAATACAATTTTTGATGATAATGTCGATTTTTTAAGCCACTGTGAAGTGTAAATGCTATCGCAAAAACGATTTTTTATGGGTGTTCATCATTTTGTAGGAAATCCAAATTTTTACTGGTCCTTCCATTATTACCTATAAATATCTATAGTAATAATATTTTGTTTTGGGTTTTTGAATATGCGATAATTTTAAGCAGAAAAATCTTCCTCATCGTCTTTTTTCGGTTTAGGTTCTCCTGGTGATCGGCTACGGGATCAACGTAATTAGAAATTTTTCAAAATGAATCGGCGCTTATTAAAGTACGTTAAATTTTGTAAATATACATTTTTATTCTTTTATTAAATTAAATGCCTCTTCAGAAAAAAAATTTCCCTAAATGAGTTAAAAAATTCTAACTAAACAAATGAAAATAAATTACGCACTTACTAAAGTTTATTTTTGTGCAACAGAATTCACAGAAAACCAGAAAACATTGTAAATATGTATCAAATGAAATAAATTTTACAACAGTTCGAAAATCATTAAAAAAAAACTACAATTACATAACCTCACTGTGCCATTTTTAAAGACTACATACCCATATACCCAGTGCAAAGCGAAGCTTCAAAAATATTTCATATCAATTCGAAACCACCAAAACGACACTCGACAAACATACAAATACACATACATCTGGTAGATGTGGAAAGAGAATAATAACAAGATATCAAAAGATAAAATAAAATAAAATGAAATAAATAACAGTACAGCAGCGTCGGCGCGAAAATATCGCATTTAATAGGCCCCAAATCGAGTCACAAAAGCCAGCATCCAATGCTCATACGTACATCCGTAATTTTGTTCAATTGAGTAGCCTTAAGTAAACGCTGCAAAATCACACTTACCACATATACATACATACATATATATCCAAACCTAATAATATATGTATATGCATACTCGTATATACAGATGCGAATAATCAACAATAGAGTTTGTAAACCAGTGAGTTTGTGTGTATAAGCGTACGAATGGGTGTAAAAAAAAGCTTCAAATAAGCATCATCTTATACAATATATAATAATGTGTCTGCATAGATGTGTGTATTTATGAATGAGCGACTTAGCCGGTGCCATCAATTGCCGGCGTTGATGGTCATGCCACCTGCTATGGCGCTGTGATAAGGGAGAAGTGACGGGTGGTTAGTAAAAAGATGCAACGAAATCAAAACTGAGCGTTATGTGACGTTTGACATTTTTATTTAATTAATTGTTTGTATAGTTTACAACAACTTAGGTGCTCGTGTACTTGTTCTGTTAAACTATTTTGCGAAGTTTTAGGAAATTAGAGAAAAGTTGTTTCATTGTAAAAGTGAATTATAGGTATATGTACATATGTATTTAAAAATTACTACACTTCGAGCAATAAAACTTTTTTAATTATAAGTTCCTCAATATCATATATGAACGAAATGATTTAATTTCCGCCCTCAAGAATTTCCAAGAGTGTTAGTGGTTATATGCTGTTTACAGGTATGTATTATACTTGTAAAACCAAATGTGCATTTGCTATTGTGTTTGGCGAATTCAATAAAAATAATAAACAGAATTTATCTCGTTTATCAATATCGAATCGTATTTTTGAATAGAGAATTAGAGTCCTGATCGGGCACTCATCATTGCTTTCGTTTTGTTATTTCATTTAAAGAACTAACTATAATATTTTAAAAACACTTTGTGACGACGGAAGAAGCTTAATATGGCTAAAACCAATTTTAAATTTTCTCATTTTACGAGTTTTTCCACAAACGAGTTTAAGGTTTCGTGTAGTGATAAGTATATTCGCGAAGTTCTTTAAAAATATATATATTTAATTTAAAATGACTTCATTTGTAAACTCTATTTATGTGGTTTGTGAAGAGATGGCGTAACTTGATTATTATTTCATTGTTCCAATAGAAATCTCCCATGCTCGTGCAACAATAATTTTTTTTCACTCATATACATATGTCAAACTTTGTACCTGAGAAAGTTTTTTTTCGGGGAGTTTTTCTTCATTACATTATTATGAAGAAAATCTTAGCCGAGTCTCATCTTACTTTCGTAGAAGTTTATGGTGAACGTGCGTGTTGTTTAACGAACGTGCTAAAAGGTCCTGGGTGTTCCAACAAGTTTAAATATTTATATATTATATTTATATTTATTGTTATAGCCCAGACCATGCCGCTTGCCAGAAAAATGAGAAAATGTTATAGCTCTCGAAGGGCAATACCTTAAAAAATATATAGTTAAAAGCATTATTATTTACTAAATTCCATACGATGTGTAGCATTCAATACCAAATATTGAAATTACTACAGCTTTAGTTAATGTAGAAGGTGGACATACCTTGAAGGCTGTTATATAAATAGTTCTCGTATTTAAAAAATTTATGATAAAATTCTTAATTTTTTTTTCTCTAAATGAAGTGTTTTAAAAGTCTTAAATTCCTGCCGAACATATATAAGTTATATTCGTAGGTCTGAGGTACGGGTTTAACTTTTTTTAATCTTCAGTAAACATTTAAAACCTCCAGAACTCAATTATCAATTTTACGGAGGAAAAATCGATTGGTTGGGGTCCGCAATCATATAGCTTTGATAAGCTGTTAAGAGAACGGTGTGTGCTTTATTCGAATCTATAAACTGAGTGCTGAAATATAATATCCCCTTGGAGTCTGGACGTCAAAGTCCCCAAATGAAGCCTCCAATAGAAAGCATACGTAATAATTATCCGTTTGAATCATTTTAAACAAATAAATCTTGAATGAATAAAATACCCTTGCATATATTTAACTTGTAAACTTCACTCAGACTAAAATCGGTATGAGTCTCTCAAATAAATCCCATAAAATCCAAATTCATTCAAAAAAACTTGAATCTGCGAATAATATGAACATAAATTCATTTCATTATACATAAACTAATCCTCGCGGCGCGAGATTATGTGACAAGCTTGGCACCCATTAGCACATTATCCAAAACAAGTATTCAATGTCACCCAACTAGGCTTAAATTTATAAATTAAACAAAACACGAACCAACGAGTTGAACTTTGCCTTTTAAATAGTACAAATGCCGGTGCGAATTACACGCTTAACATAATAATTAAGCTAACCTTTAAGCAGTAAAAAAAATTACAATGAGAAGTTATAAAAAAAAAAAACATAAAACTTGCAGAAGGCGCGCGGTTCAAAAATTATTCCAAACACTAGATTTGAGTGTATATGCAGTTAACTTGGCCCAGCACTCATGTGTGACTGTTAATAATGTATATACCTACATATGTATGAATACATATGTAAATATCGCCTTGCGTGTAAAGTTAATGCTATAAATGTTCAAAAATTATAAAAGTCAGCTTGAAAATGGGAATTTTTCTTGTTAGGTGTCACAAAAAGTACATACATATGTAAGTGCATGACTGCATATGTAGGTATATGTAAATGAAGGTATGAGTTAATCGTTAAATCGAGCTATAAACTGCTCTTTATATATGTATATGGAAGTGTGCGCACTTTCAGAAACAGTTCTGCTATATTTTAACACACTATGAACATACCTTTTGATGTTGGTCGAAACAATGATCGAATCTGGATCTTGTGTAGCGGTAGTACTTATATATGTATACCTCTACTAATTACATCAAGGTAGTTACACACTAAAAACATATACTAAGTATTTACTATATTACCAACGTAATAATACATTAAAAGCGGTTTGGCCAATCACTCAACTGACTGCTGCAGCATTTTCTAATTGGAAGTTATTATTGCTTTGTTTGTTATTGTGGCTAAGTTGGAATCACAAAGTAGAGATTTCAGCCGCTCGAAATACGACTCGTTAAACAGCGAGTATAGCATAACTGGGGCAATTTTAACCAATTTTTTACCTTTTGCTCAAGTTTTTCTTTTGTAATTGTTATTAATTGATTTTTATTTTAGAATAATTAGTTATTTTATAACTTTTGAAGAGCATAACACTTCGTAAAGATTTTATTCAGCACTCGGTAATTTTTAGCAGTTAAGTTATGATTTTGAAAATAAACTAAAATTTCTTTAAATCCTGACCTATTCCAGTCAAACTGCTTTTATCCTCAAACTCCACTTAGTTGAAATAACTAGAGATACCTTGGCTTTAAGAGGTTATTTTTTATATTCATAATGAATATTTGGGTGTTAGGGTGCTAGTTCAGATACCATAAAGTGTTATGGCAAATCTCACACACTTACCATGTTAGTAGAAGTCAGCTTAATTGCTTGAGAGCGCTTCTCTCTGATATATATCACTTATAAAATTTCGATTAATATGTTAATAATAAGATTTTCTCCTCTACAAGAATGGTATGTATAATTTCTTGCTTAAGTTAAGTGTTCGAGATATTCGCTGTCAAACATCAATCTATCAAAGAAAAACACAAAAAACAGAAACAAAAAATAAAACGATAAAACGAAAAATGTTTTCAAGTAGTTGAAAGCGAGATTTCTATATCGATAATTAGAAAAAAATAGTCAACGGTAAAGCGGAGGACCTTACCGCTACAATTAAGAGCTGATACTTAAAGAGTCTTTCTTAGAGGTGTCTACCAACCAATTTTTCGGAGTATCAAGCGAAAAAAAAATACATTCGTTTCTTTTGAATATAATATAAGTATATATGCTATATATAACATTTCGAGTTTGTTACTGCCGTCAGACCCTATAAAATGTATACATAAATGTTGCGCGTATTAACATGTTTATTTATTTTAGTTTCTGAGATATCGATTTGAAATTTTGCACTTGTTCTTTCTCTTCAAGAAACTGTTTATTTGCCGGAACCGCCAATATCAGTTAAGCAAGTCGTTGTATGAAAAGTTTTTTATTTGAAGATACAAGTATCTTTACAAAATTTGGCATAATTTATTGCTCAAGGCTACAATCTCTGCTACGTGCTTAGCATTAAATTGTCAGCCAGTTGGGCACTACAGTTTTTTAAAGAAAAAAGATTATACATTATATTTTACCTGTTGCATGCATATATTCTATGTATATGTGTATGTATGTATGTGTTTATACACTTTTCCTTTTATTTCCACATACAAATGCATTTTTCCGTTCATATATACATACATATGTGTGTACATTTAATCCGATTTCTGAAAGCAAATTAGTAAACTGCGCCATTTAGCGAACATAAGGGATGATGATGAATTTATTTAATTGTATTACATTGAAAATAAGAAGGTTACTTTATTGTTTCCATTTTCAGTTGTCGTAGAGCAGTAGAGAAGGGAGCAAGCGAGTAAATGCACTTCCATTAAATTTTTATATACATATATTTCAACTGAAGCGGTGAAAAAACAAAGGAATTTTGTGAAACAAATTGAAAATAAATAAAATTCTTTGGAGATAACAAAAATGCATTGCCAACGAAGCGTAATCCTCGTGGCGTTAGTCATACTATGTCTCAGCGGTGCGATGTGGAGCTGTGTCAATGCTTATCAGGTGGGAGTGGGACGTGCTGATTGTACGGGACCACCGGTGGAAATACATTTCGTAAGTATGATGAATTCTCTTTATTATTCTTCGATATTTAGTTACGTATAATAATTTTGCTTGGTATTTCTTATCATCAAAACAACAACTTTTCTTATATATAGTTTACATTTATGTATTAATTTTATTTCTCAGATGGGTTTCGCCAACCTTAAACAAGTGGGACGCGGTCTGCACTTGCGTCAATTCGCGCGCGCCTTCGTCGTCGAGGATGAAAACCACAAGCGCGTCGCCTTTGTCTCCGTGGACGCGGGCATGATGGGTTACGGCGTCAAGCGCGAGGTGAAATTAAAACAAAAATATTAAAATCTATGATAAATTTAGCCACTTTGTATTTACATATGTACATTGAAGGTGGTAAAGCGTTTACAAGCGCGCTATGGCGATATATACACGACGGATAATGTGGTTATCAGCGGCACGCATACTCACAGCGGACCCGGTGGCTTTCTCATGCATTTATTGTACGATATATCGATTTTGGGTTTTGTGCCGCAGACTTTCGAAGCTCTTGTACAGGGTTGTTACTTAGTGAGGCTATCAACTTCTTCTAATTATTTTATCTAAAGCTCCATATTTTACTTTCTCAGAGTATCAAGCGTGCCACCGACAATATGGTCGAAGGTAGGATCTTTCTATCACGAACCACTATCCTAAATGTGAACATTAATCGATCACCAACCTCTTATTTGCGTAATCCCGTGGAGGAACGTGCGCAATATGAACACGATGTGGATAAGGTGCTGACGCAATTGCGTTTCGTCGATTCGGAGAATACTTTATTGGGTGCCTTTAATTGGTACGCGGTACATCCGACATCAATGAATAATACGAACAAATTGGTGACTTCTGACAATATGGGTTATGCTTCACTGCTTTTGGAGAAGGAGTACAATACGAATAAAGTGCCCGGAAAAGTATGTTATACTAACCTTCACATAGTCAATATATTCAGAAAACGTATGAGTTTAAAATTATTATTCATTCGACCATGTACAAAAATTCTATCTAGCTAGGGGTAGGGTACCTTTCCAAAATATCTATATTTGAATTTGAACTATTTTTAAAATCATCGACAAAATGTTTTGCTTTGTAAAGGGTTTCAAGAAAAAACTGGTTTTTTCTACTTTTTTCAGGGTAAATTTGTTGGCGCATTCTGTTCATCGAATTTGGGCGATGTGTCACCAAATATTATGGGTCCGAAATGTTCGATTAGTGGAAATGATTGTGATCTACTTACTTCAAAATGTCCGCAAAAAGAAGGCGAATGTTTTGCGTCTGGTCCAGGACGCAATATGTTTGAAAGCACTGAAATTATAGCAAGTCGCTTAGCTGATGGTGCTTTGGTGAGTGTCATAAATTTCTGCTTTTTAATGAGAGCAACATGAAAGGGAGTGAGGAATAAGACTGATGACTCAGTATCTTGTTAGATTTGTTTTGTTGTTTTTCAAAGTCAAAGAAAAAGAAGTAGAGAAAATGGAAAAGATTAATCGAAGTGTGAAGTCTTTAAATAGTCTACCTCACTCCGAAAAAGTTCTCGTAAATCTGAAAACACTAATTTCGACATACGGCTGAGAAAATGACACTAAATCGAGTATATTTTACGTTTATTGTGTTACCCTTTAGCGCTTACTAAACGATAACAGTCAAGAGACGACAAGCCGCGAAATTGTAGGCGAGTTGTCCTATATTCACCAATTCGTCGATATGCCTAATTACAATGGCTCCACATATAACCCACTACAAAGAAAACTGGACAAGATACGTGGTTGCCTGCCCGCCATGGGTTACAGTTTTGCTGCTGGAACCACGGATGGACCGGGCGCGTTTAGTTTTGAACAGGGAACCATTACCGGCAATGCAATGTGGAATGCTGTGCGCGATTTCATAGTACCGCCAACACAAGAAGACATTAGCTGTCATTCACCAAAGCCTATATTGCTGGCAACTGGAAGGGTAGGTTTTGTAGTAAAAGTTAAAAACTGACGAGCCAATTCTCATATTTCTCAGGCGACATTCCCCTACGAGTGGCAACCGAAAATTGTGTCTACGCAGCTGTTGAAGATCGGGGATCTGATATTTGCCGCTGTGCCTGGCGAATTCACCACAATGGCTGGACGTCGTTTGCGTAATAAGATTAGCGCCGTGGCTGTGGCAACTGGTGGCAAAGATACAGAAGTCATTATCGCAGGTTTATCGAACATTTATACTAGCTATATCACAACACCGGAGGAATATCAAGTGAGTACGATGAATAAAATGTGTTTGATTTAATTTCACAATTATTTCTTAGGCTCAAAGATATGAGGCAGCTTCGACAATTTTTGGTCCCAACACGCATACCATCTATATGGACGTATTCGAGCAATTGACCAAAGCAATGATACGTGGCGAGCGCCTGATACCTGGACCCGCACCACCATACATGAACGATCGCATGCTGTCGATGAACACTGGCGTTATTTTCGATGGTCATCCGATCGGCAAGGATTTTGGTTTCGTTAAGCTGCAGCCCAAAAAGATTTACCAGATCAATGAGACTGTGGTAGTCACCTTTATTGCGGGTAATCCGCGTAATAATCTATTTCATGAGAAAACATACTTTGCGGTAGAGCGTAAGATCAACGAAGAACGTTGGAAAGTCGCCTACACAGATGCCAGTTGGGAAACGAAGTATGTTTACACTAACCTTCCCTCAAGAGAAATATTTTCATTCATCAAATATTTGTACACTCTAATACTTATAGATTCATTTGGGAGCGCGTTCATCTGATACTCGGCTTTAGCGACATTCACATTCATTGGACCATCGGCACCAACACTCTGCCCGGCGAATACCGCATTCGGCATTTCGGCAATTACAAATATATTTTAGGTGGCATTTTCCCATATGAAGGCATTTCCAATTCATTCTTGGTGACGGAAGACTAATCGCTGCTTTATATGTATGCACACGTAGAAGACGACGATTGGATTACTAGTCAGAGACTGCGCTCATCAGGTTTTACTGTTTCTCAACTACATATATAGTACATATGTAAGGCACATTCATTTTAATATGTACAATCTGTGTGGTACAGTGCCATAAAAATGATACATATACACATATTTATTTGTTTATTATTGTTAGTTGTGTATATATAACGGAAATGTAAGAATAAATCTAGAAACGACTGTTGTACTAATATGTAATTGTAGTGATGTTAGACCTTCAGGTGTTTTAAATCAAATGATTTGATTGGGCGAAATCTTATCGTATCAGAAAGCGTGGTTCAGTAACCACCGTTATGTAGAATTTTTACAAGAAAAACGAAAGTTTGGAATGAGGGGGATTTTTCAATTTATTCTCTCTTAAACTCCCAGCGACGTTCGAACGTCTTTAACCCGTTTAAAAAATATGTTTTCATGGAACTCTGTATGGTGGAAGAGCACATTTTTCGTCAAATAAGGCCCTTTTTTGCACAAGTCTGTTTTCCCTTTCCTAATATGCAGTCTTCTGCTTATTATTTCAGCTATTTCGGTAGTCCGCCAATACGAGATCGTAGACTTTTGTTATCTTCCGTGTTAAAAAGGCGACAGGAAATTACGTAGATCAACGCCCATCGCCAATGGAAAAAACGAATCACCATATACAGCATCCAAGGCTTTTTGTTTCACTGCGCGATGTCTCTCTCAAAAATATCTTTCGAAGAACCGACCGCTTTGTTCTTTTTCTATTTTCCTAAACTCCTGCGACACCATGAATGGTCTTCATTCTAATAAAATTAACTACACAATAGTAAATTTTTCATGCACCTATACTTGTCGGGAAGCCCTCGAAATCTTACTCCAGCTAAGTATTGGAACTTACGATCCACTGAGTACTCGAAGCGATTCTTCCTCAGATCAAGTATAAAAGCATCACTTCCGTTTAATACATATTCATATCCGCTTTACTGACCGCTAGATGTCTCTCTTCTGAAACTTGGTTAAATAATAAATTATAGCATTTTACACCACGCAAGCACAGTGTTGCATTTTTCAGCAGTAGTAAGCCCTTTCTAATACTACCTTTAGGTGTTCTTAAAACACTTTTAAGATTTTAATAATTTTTGAAAAATAAAACAAAAATGCATTATCTCCTTAACCTTTTTTATTTGCGCTAAAAACTGATTTCCGTATCGAATTTATGAATAAGAGTTTTTTTTTTAATAAATTATTTCACAAAAAATGTAGAAATGTTGATACTATTTCAACTATTGTGGATTATTTAAAGAATAAAAGCGTTTTTAACACCAAGGTAATTTTTTGAATTAATTGAATTTCTCAAAGTAAATTTGACTTGAGCTCAAATGTGAGTATGTTGGATATCAGTCTGAGAACTATCATTTTTTTAAATTTCCAAAGTAAAAGCATATTTTTAGGATGGAGTTCCAAATTGACATGAAACAATATCTTTCTTAGTTTTGACTTTTGACATAGTTCCTTTTTAGTATTAGTATTAGTTTTTGAACTGAACAACTCAGCAACCCCATCAGCTGCTCAATGCTATAGCAACAAATTCTTATGCTCACAATAACTGCAATACTTTCGGCCGCCAAGCAAAACTACTCTTTTCTATTCGATATATTCACCATATGTATGGTGCATCGAAGAGAATTGCTTTGCTGAAATTCACCACACACTAAATTTGCCTTGTAAATCTCAGCAACTTAAATAAAAGCCAGCACAATGCGCGACACAGTCCAAGTGGGAAGAAGTTGACAACCGCGTACAATTCGATTCGCGTTCGGACCGTATCCAGTAAATAAATTAACAGACGAAAAAGAAAAGAATTTCACGCGTTAGGAAAATTTAATATTTATATCAGTGATATCGGCGAACTAGAAGTCAGTTGTTAGATTACGTTGCAGGGTGAATAAACGCGAGTGCTACTGGATGTTACATACGAGTACATACATACAAGTATAATATATACGTAAGTGCAATTGGTGATTAAGTGGATGTGCGTCCGGCAAACGAGGACAGTTCCTGAAGCAACAACAATTACAATAAAAAACATAAAATCTATATTGCTGGTACATTAATTGTGTTCTGACATTACTCGGCACTGGTCAAGTGCAGCGCGTGTGCCAGGAGACAAAATCGAAACTAAAGATACTTTCAACAACAGCAAAAAGGCATACAAGAGAGCACGCAAGGAGAGCTGGGAAGAAGCAAACAAAAGATACGCGAGTAAACACCAGCGGGCGAGAGAACAACGAAAGTCGCAAAGAAATTTGTAGGTACAAAGAAAAGTATGTACATACATATGTAAATATTATAGAATTTATCCGGTAAATTGCGTGCGGCCAAAACAAAATTCGAAAAACACGCAAAGCGCAGTTACGCAGAAGAAAGTCTGGCAAGAGTCAAGTAAACGCTTATCGATTTGCTTATAAGAGTTAGCAACGCCTTGCTTTATTATTGTTTTCTGATATTATTTTGTTGGAACTTTTGTGGTGCCCCAATAAGCGTTAAGCGCGTTTATGATTTCCATTGTTTTTACCCTACTGCTGTATCGGTGAATTTTACATTTCTTTTTGTATGAGCATAAAGGTGCATAAGTATGTAAATTGTGTTGTGCTGGCAGATATAGCTCCGTTTGCAGTAGCTCAACAGAAAATTTAACCGTAATTCCTCGATCGACAGTTTTTACGCTTGTGCAACCGCAAATATTGAAATTTTCATAGAGGTGCCCTACATTCATACAAATGCATATGTATGTATATGAGTTTGTGTAGGTATGTAAACAGATATGTATGGGTATGTACGTATTTGCTTGAAACTGTAGATTTGAATCTAAGCAGTGATGGTGATACATTAACAACTTGATATGTCAGTAAGAATCTGATTTCTGTAGGGTTTGTCGAAATTTGGAAACACATTTGTGGAATAGCTAAGTTCTATAAGGTTTTCAAGTGATGCAAAGCTTAACCCTCACTTTTACATAGTAGATATTTCCCAAAACCAAGTAACGACGCCTAAGTTCGGATGCAAAAAACATTTTATACTATCGCAATCTTCAAGGATCAAAGTTGGAGGCATAATAATTTGGAGGTATTGGCAAATTTTTTTCTATGTACATGTGTATGTATGTATGTGATTTAAGCTCAACCAAAGGGGCGAAATTTCATATGTACATATATACTGAGCATATTACTAAAACATTAAGAAGATTAGGGATATAAGGTTTAGACCAATGTTTAGACTAGAGTCTAGAATAATTTCATTCATATTCAGTGTAAACTATATTATTTTTAAGAAAACTTGTCCGCTTAATTTCATTAAAATATCATATGCATAAATATTTGTATGTATATTAGAGCGGGTCGATTTTCCTCAAATAAATCACGTATGAGGGAACCTACACATCATATGTATTAAATTTCATTCGAATATCTCAAAAAATAACGAAGAAAATTATATAATTATACAATATTCCGGACAAAAAACTTCATTTAAAAATCGCTGGCTCGAAATCGGTTTTAGACCTACAAGTATATTCTCTTAGGCAAAATGTTCAGAATGATCCGTAGAACATTTCGAGCATACGCGATTAGTATAAAGTAAATCGAAAGTTTGAAAAACTTTATGTTAAGAATAGGAGGCTGAGATAAGCTTTGCATCGATTTTATTCATTTTTGGCGCAAGCGTATATGGTGTGATTATCAAAAATATATAATACATATTGACGTGTATTTTCGGTAAAATTTCAGCTTTAGGCACCAGGGTTCACATGATTGTTATCTGGTGCTTGAAAAGTTATGACCTGGTTTTGATAATTTTTAGATTTAATTTGTGTGAAATGGATGAATCTGATGGAATTTAAAATGTGATCTATGCGAAACAGTCGTAATCCTTGCCCGATTTTTGATAGAAGAAGGTACTAAAAATATTTGTCCTGAGCCAATTCGGTTGATATAATTTTAGTGGTTTAGAATTTGATAATAGGCCTCCTCCTAAAGCATAGGTGCGTTGTCAGACAGCCACTCTACCTACCAGTGTTATGGGAGATATGTACATTAAACATATTAGTGCGCGAGGCCATGGCAACTTTTTAAAAATGTTGCATTTTGTGGGCGTAACAATCGTCCGATTCCGCTCATCTACAATACCAATCTTCTCATGGTGCCAAGAAATAAGTGTACCATGTTTCAACAAGATATTTAAATTATTACTCAAGTCATCAATTGAACAGTCGGATGGACGGACAGTCACTTGAAATTCTACACGTCTCGTCATTCTGATTATTCATATATACTTAAGTATGTATATAACCCTATATCTATATAGATTAGTTTTAGGTGACACAAACAACCATTACGTGCACAAATTTATTATACTCTATAGCTGCTTGTTGCGAGAAAAAAATAATAATCTGATCAAATGGTCAATTTATAGTACCCACAAATATTAAAAAGGAACCCTTAAGAACAACCCAGTAAGTGGCTGAAAACCAAAACCAAAAGTTCCACTACATTCTTTGAACCATAATTTTGGAAAATGTTTTATCTAAAACGGAGGCTGTGCATATGTATGTATATATTTCCGTCACATAAAATCAAAAATAAAGCTAAATATATTTAAGTATATATGTACATATATACTATTGTACATATTCATGAACATATGTTTCGGATACATATGTAGATTTACAATATGCATACATACTATATACATATGCTATGAAAACATAAGTATGTATAATAGTAAGTGAAATATATTGTAGTCCTTAAAACGTAGAATCTTTTTATGGTTGACAATTGGAAAATTTTATGAAAACCTTGAAACCCCTTGATCTATACCCGCTCATAGGTTTCTTTGCTTTCTTCTACGACGAAATTCTAAACAACATTTTGAAAGCATCTGTATATACATATATATGTATGTATGTATTTCACAAAAATAAGATGACATACAATTAATTTATTCTTTTTAAGATAAGAGTTCACCTATGCCACTGTTTGTAGTATAAAAAGCTTACAGGTTTGCACATATTTTTAATCTGAGTACTCTGCTCTTAATAGTTATTTGGGTTAGAAAAGCTTTGTCATTCCGTCAAATTCAGTACTCGAATATTTCAAAAATCTCGAAATCATCAACAAATTTTTATTCTTATGTGTATATACAAGTGAACACATTAAATGTATGTACAAGTATATTTAGTTTAG